TCTCCAACCTGGTACCGACCCCTTCGATCTTCATTCCTCCCTCTCTTCAACTAATTTCCAGAGTTCAGTTCAGAGTATATCTGTGGATGTCTGTCTCTGCTTCCATCAGCCACTGGATGAGGGCTCTAGGATGGCATAAAAAGTAGTCATCAATCTCATTTTAGGGGAAGGGCATTTAGGTTATCCTCTCCATCATTGCCTGGATTGTCAGTTCATGTCATCCTTGTAGGTCTCTGGAAATCTCCCTAGTGCCAGATCTCTCCTGGGACCTATAATGACTTCCTCTAATATGGTATCTCTCATCCTGCTCTCTCTCCTCTATTCATCCCCCAACTCAATATTTCTGTTCCTCCATTTCTTCTCTCCTCCACTTCTCTTCTGCTCTCATTCTGGCAGCTCTCTCTCCCCTACCCTCATGCTTCCAATTAGCTCAGGAGTTCCTGCCTCTTCCCATTCCTGGAGTCCATTCCTTTATCCCTTAGAGTCCTTCCTGATTCCTAGTTTCTTCGGTGAAGAGGATTATAGTCTGATAATCCTTTGCTCTATGTCTAAAATTCATATATGAGTGAGTACATACCATGTTTGTCTTTTTGTGACTGGGTTACCTCACTCAGGATGGTTTCTTCTAGTTCCATCTATTTGCCTGCGAATTTCAAGATTCCATTGCTTTTTTCTGCTGAGTAGTACTCCATTGTATAAATGTAAAAATAGAGAATTCTCAACAGAGGAATCTGAAATGGCTGAAAGACACTTAAGAAAGTGCTCAAAATCCTTGGCCATCAGAGAAATGCAACTCAAAACAACTCTGAGATACCACCTCACCCCTGTCAGAAGGGCTAAAATCAAAAATACCAATGACAATCTATGCTGGAGAGGATGTGGAGAAAAAGGAACACTCCTCCATTGCTGGTGGGAGTGTGAACTTGTAAGACCACTCTGGAAATCAATATGGCAGTGGCTCAGAAAAATGGGAATCAGTCTACCTCGAGATCCAGCCATTCCTCTCTTGGGTATATATCCAAATAATGCACGTTCATACAACAAGGACATCTGTTCAGCCATGTTCATAGAAGCATTGTTTGTAATAGCCAGAACCTGGAAGCAACCTAGATGCCCCTCAATTGAAGAATGGATAGAGAAAATGTGCTAGGTCATTTATATATAATTTTAGTGTAGTCTTCATGACTAAATTTTAGGTGAAAACACTACAATTTGGGGCTTCAAAATGGCTCTACAAGTAAAGGAACTTGCTGTTAAACCTCATGCCCTGAATTCAATCACCAGGACCCACTTGGTGGAAGGAAAGAACAAACTGCCCTAAGTTGTCCTCTGGCATCTTCACATGTCCCCACAGAAACTAGATAAGTAAATGTACATCATTGTTTGTGTCTTAGAACACACAGCACTATGGTTTCCAATGATCACTCTGCTAGTAAGCAACAGAACTGGTGTTTGCAAACAGGCCTTTCTTTCTCCAAACTCTACGTTTCATCTAGTCATTTGACTTTGCTAAGAAACAGCAGCAGTATAGAGCTACTTTTCCAGGGTTATTCTCCAGTTGGAGTCTTTTATAGCCTCCTGTGAGACAATTAAGGTTTAGGTTAACAGTCCTTTGTGTGTGACTTACTTCTAAATACTCTGTCTCCAGTCCAAATGCCTCCTCAGGGAAAAATGGAAATACTAAACTCAGTTTCTCCTATGCTCTCACAATCAACACACATGATTTGTGACCCCACATGTCTGGCCAATTTTCCTGTATGTCAAGTATCAAAAAACTCTCTAGCAGACACTAGCTGGCCATGCTTTAATTTAGTCATTAATGTCAGTTCATACAGTTAAGTGTTCAGTCCCCAAGACTGCCTCCCACTTCAAATGCTAGTCGTAGGCCCTGGTTGTGCTTTTTTCTGACTTCTGGGCTATAATCAGGGCTCCCACAACTCCCCCACCCGCTATGGGTGCAATCATTGTGCTCAAGTGGCCCACAGAACTTGAGAAACACTTACCTTACTAGGTTATTACAAGGATTACAGAGGAACTCAGAGGAAGAGAAGCATAGAACAAGGAACAAGAGGCTCCTTCTTTGACACTCTATGCTCCAGAAACCTTCACATATCCAGCTGTATGGAAACTTCTGGAGCCCTGTCATTTGGGGTTTATGGAGTCTTCACTATTTAGACATGAGTGGTTCTGGAGACTGACAATTGGAGCCCTGATGGTGCTAAATCAATGCTGCACCACTGAGCTACATGTCTTTAGACAAATTCAGATGACTGGCTTTATTATTCATCTTTGACAATCAATTCATTCCTTAGTTCTTATCCCCAAATCAGAGGCTACATGGTGAGACTGAAAGTCCCAACCCTCTAATCGTACTGTGGTCTTTCTGGTGACCAGTCTCCATTCTAAAACTACTTAGGAACTGCCAGCCTAAAGAAAACATCAGCCTGCAAAAGATACTATTTCCTCAGAGATTCCCAGGAGTTTAGGAGTTTTATGCCTGGAAATATATTGCAATAGCACACTTTTAAGTCCCTTTGAATATTAATATGAACAATATGGAACTGGATGCTATTCAAAAGCAAAGAAAATAAAAGATCCCAAGTTTTCCTAGTATATGGCTACTCAATTTATGCACATTTTATTTAATATTACAACATAGCCACTATTAAAATTTACCACTTGACATTCACGATCATTGTTAACATCATTGCAAGAGTAATAATTCTGGGCAATATTTTACATAACATGGTACACAGACACACATGCAGACTAAATATTCACATGCATAAAAGTAAGTAAACCTTAGATAACAAGAAGTTCAAGGTCATCCTTGACTTGATAGCAAGTTTAAGGCCACCCTGGGCTATATGGCACACTCTTGAAAAGCAGAAGAACATTCATAACAGTAAATAGTGAATACTCACATTTGCAGCAACCTATTTAAAACATAGGCCATTATTATTACCCTTTTAGTTCTGTTACCTTCCTTCCAACTATGTCCTTCATAGTATGTTTCTGGTTGTCACGTCTCGCTTTTCTTAGTAATTTATATTCCTAAACAATATATTTTTATTTTGCATGACTTTGGAATTTATATAAATGTGTCTTCTGCAACTTGCTTTTTGCCTCTCTGCTTTATGTCCCTTTTAAAATTGTCACCAGAATGACACCAATAATTGCTATCTTAATGATTTTTGCATTTTCCATTATTTAGGTGTGACTTAACACCTTTTGATAAAGTTTACCATTTTCCTGCTAAATACCCTGCTCATCTTTTAGCTAGATTGAGTCCAAGATATAAATTATTTTTGATGTTATTCTTAAATGGTTTTTTGAAAAATTAGTTTTCTAGCAGTTTATCGTTGCTAGACAGAAATGCAATAGATTTTTTTCTCTGATTGAACAAAGCCATTTCTCTAAAAGGTCGAGGAAAAAGAAAATAACACATTGGTTTTCAGATGTGTACAGACTGTAGTGGTCTTCTTGGCTGGGAGAGAGAGATTCCAATTTCAGGACAGTAGTGTTTAGAGAGGCAGAGGGAGTGGAGACCAAAGGAAGACACAAAGAGGGTGTTAATAACATACATAGTATTTTGGTTCCTTTTGAAGCAAATCTGAAAACATATTAACAAAGCAAGTACATGAGTGATTGTGTTATTATTCCTTGTGTTTTTTGAAAACAGGCTGTAATTTGGAAAGTAAAATACATGGTATTTACTATGTGCTCAAGATAAATCACATTTACGACAAATGTCCTTAGAATCCATTAATGCTAAATTGGATGCTGTAAAGTGGCAGCTGCATGCCAAATCCAAACTTCAGATAGAATTATTCCTTTTGCTTTATGATTTTAAAAATGGATCAGCAAATGCCAATGATTTTGCATTCAAGTCTCTGCTTCTAAATTCTTTTAAAAGACTAAACAATCCGGACTGGGGATGCTGCTCAGAGGTGGAGTGCTTCCTTAATTTAGGTTCTGTCCTGGGTTTTGTTGTCAACACTGTAACAAAACAAAAGGCAGATCTGACAATGGCAGATTTCTGTGGGTGGACTTCTAGGTGATAATAGTTCATTAGACAGACATGTGCAGTAGCTGCCTGCTTTCTTTTTCACTGTTTATTATGACAGCTTTCAAAGATTTTCAAAGATAGATGAAAATAAACCCCCAGATACCAGTTGAGAACATTCACAATTATAGATTCATGATCAGGGTCTTGCTTATATTTGTAAGTTGTTTTTTTTTGTTTTGTTTTTTGAGACAGAGTTTCTCTGTGTAGCTTTGGAGCCTATCCTGGCGCTGGGATTAAAGGCGTGTGCCACCAACGCCGGGCTATTTGTAAGATTTTTATTAAAATATTTTTAACTATTCTTTTATCTATTAAGTGTTAGAGAGGGAAGCCAAAGCTCTGTTTATGCTAGGCATGTGTTATAGCCCTGAGCTGCAGCCATTAAAAGACATTTATGTTTGTGAAGCTGGTGATAAAACCCAGCTTCATGTATGACAGCAAGTGCTCTACCACTAAGTTCCATCCCAGCCCCAAGGTTTATTTTGTACTAGACAAACAATTGTCATGTATATTTATTGCACTCCACATGTTGCTTTGAAATACATCTACATTGTGGAATGGCTAGGTGTAGGGAATAAACATATTCATTACCACACAGGTTACTTTCTTGTGGTGAGAACACTTAATATTTATTCTGTCACGAGTTGTCAAGAATACATTGCTAGTAATTATAGTCATCATATTGTACAACAGAGCTCCTGACCTTGTTCCTTTTAATTGAAATTTTTATCTTGATCAACATTTCTTTCTCTCCCCTTCTCAGCCATGGGGACCACAATTCTGGTCTCTGCTACTAAGCATTCAACAGGTTTAGATTTCATATGTAAGTGAGAATATGTGTTATGTGTTGCTCTGTGCTGCTTTATTATGCTTAATATCCTCTAGGTTCATCCATGTTGTCATGAATGACAGTATTTCACTTTCTTCAAAGACTAAATAGTATTCTGTCATGTGTATATGTCTTTCTTTCTCTTGCCCTCTTTCCCCAAAATGCATGACCCAGCAATATGACTTCTGAATTTATCGATACACCACAGAAACCTGAGATTAGTGTGTTGAAAAGACAACTGCATTGGTATGTTCATTGAAAAATTATTTACAGTGGACAAGATACAGAATGAAGGTAAATATCTGTTGATTGCTGAGATAATTTTAAAATGTGATATATTGACTGTGGTAGTTTGAATGTAATTGGCCCCCATAATTTCATAGGGAGTGGTATTATTAGTAAGTATGGCTTTGTTGGAGTGGGTATGGCCTTGATGGAGGAAGTGTATCACTGTTGGGGTAGGCTCTGAGGTTTCCTGTGGTCAGAATACTGCCAAGTGTCTCAGTCCATTTCCTGTTGCCTGCAAGATGTAGCCAGCACCATGTCTGCCTGCACGCTGCCATGCTCCTGGCCATGGTGATAATGGACTGAACCTCTTAACTGTAAGTCACAACCAAAAGTTAAATGTTTTTCTTTGTAAGAGGTGCTGTGGTCATGATATCTCTTTACAGCAATAGAAACCCTAAGACAATTAACTCAATATACCCAACTGAAGTGTGATCCAAGAGTCAGGTATTAGGTGGTTATAGCTAAAAGTCAGAGAAGCAGACCAGCCAACCACTATAGTTATTATCTCTACAAAATCTCAGACCAAAGGGGCCAAGATCCTGTCTATGCCCTGCCTTATCACTTCCTGTCTCTGCCCTGTGTTGTCACTTCCTGTCTCCTCTCTGTGTGGTCTTCCAGATCACTATGGTTAACTAGTGGCTAGCTCCACACTCTGATCTCCAGGCAAGCTTTATTTGTCAGAACACAAAAAAATCACAACATTTTCTCCTTTTGGCTAAAATAAAAAAAATTCTAGCATAGAAAAACTATAAAAAAGAAGTACAATAACTGTACAAATAGTACAAAAATATAAGGCAATAATTACATTAACAATGTGTAGTCCCTTAGTATTTGACAAATTCAGAGAAAATACTAAAAACATTAGGTACAAAGTATTGTATCTAATTCACCTTCTAACCTAATTTGTATAACCAAACTATCATTTTATGCCTCTCAACCTTATACACTTTACACCTCTTTTTGTGAGGTTCTTTTCTGAATATTTTAATGAGGAAAACTATAACTATCTAGTCTTCAACTCCATCAGAGACTCAATATTACCTGAATAAACAGGAAGTACAGAGCAAACAGCTTCCAAGAAAATGTGCGATATGAGACATCTGGCTGCCTGGAAAGTCACCCAAGGTTCCTCTGTAATGCTGGAGCATCTGTTTTCGGCCTACAGGCCTAGAATATCTGACAGACTTTTCTGTGAAACCCTGTCTTGGCAAAGTTTGGCAGTCCTTTCTTTTGTGCCTTTCTTGTACAATTTGGACAGCATGCTGGCAGCAGTTGGGACAGGGGCACTTCTTAAGATTACTGCGTGTGCCCAGAGATGAACTATAGTCCGTGATGGTAAGATTTCTTTATTCAAGAAAACACCAGGGCAAAACACAGGCCAGAGCGAGGTCACAGGAACCAGGCTAGCACAGCCAGAGAGAAGGGGCCAGGGTCTCCACTTGCAGCCCTTAAGAACCTTCCCTTATGTCACCCCGGCTTTCCTTCACCACGCCCTTATGGGCGAGTCCCGGGTCCACCTGGCACCTGTCCCAGGACTATTGGGCAGGGTTAGGGTGTCTCCCTACAATTCCCCTTTTAGTCTAAAAGAGGATTAACACTTAATAGTGTAAAATGTCTAAAATTAGCAATCATAAAGGTGAAATATAAGAAGATACAATAATCTGCTATTGCACATCCTATGTCTATTCCATCTAAGTCTTAAAGTCATGTGGAAAGGGTGTCTAACTTGAACACCTCCTTCCAATCCCAACTCTAAACAATAAGGTCATTCTTAACTAGGCTTACACTACCCTAATAAACAATAATGGGGAATGGGGGCGTAGCATCTTCTAGGTTACTTTCTGCTGAAATGGGACGATGGTAGTTATGTGGGGTCCTGTGGAAAAAAATGCTAGTACAGGGAAAGTCTCTAATGAGTTATGTCTAGTCCATGTTAGATGAGATTTGTTAGATTGAAAATCTACATTGAAATCCTCAACTTGATTGAAGTCATTACTCGAGGTTCTGGTTGGAGTGTCAGTCGAAATGGAGTGAGTGGAATCCAGTGCAGTCGGGGAGATGTAGTCCAATTCTTTTTCTGGAGCATGCAGGGATTGTTGTCAGGCTGGTTCTCGTTTGCTGTATGGAACTCAAACATAAGTGTCATCAGAGAAATGTTTGCTTGTACACGTAGGTGTACTGGGAAAGGCAATCCTTGAAAAACAACGATTATGAGAGGGTGTAGGCCTTGAAAGAAAGAACCAAGAAGGGGCCAGGGTCTCCACGTGCAGCCCTTAAGAACCTTCCCTTACGTCACCCCAGCTTTCCTTCACCCCGCCCTTATGGGCAAGTCCTGGGTCCACCTGGCACCTGTCCCGGGACTATTGGGCGGGGCTAGGTTGTCTCCCTACAGGCACTTTCTTGCCCAGTGACTAACTTTTGTTACAAAGAAAGTGAACTATGTACAAAGTTTTTTTGATGCCCATCATCTTCTCTGAAGTAGAATGATGCTTCCAAGAGCAGACATGCCTCATTGTCATAAAAATAACCTTATGTTATTAAACATCTTAAATGCCATATTCTGTAGGTGTCTGTAGTGTTTGAAGATCACCTGTCTATCTAAAATATATTTGTTTGGCCTTGAAAACATACTTAACCTGACTACAAGTTTGATTGTAATAGGTGACTAATTACTAACCTGCATTTCTTTAATATCCTAAATAGTTTGTAATAATAACTCCGAAAGACTAGAAATTTGCATAAAATTGTTAAATGAGCTGTATAGTTACAATACCTTGAACAAGATTAGAAATGTATATACAGTATTTTCTAACAAAAATAACCTTAGGTTTGTATCAATATACAAAAATCCATATCAATGTAAAATGTTTAAAACTAGTAGTTGCTTTTTTGGTTTATACCTCAAGGTTAAAGTACCGTAATTTGTTATATACATCTAGAGTACAAAAACTTAATTTCTAGTTACCTGATAAAGACTCAAACCCTAAATCATGTACAGGAAGCTAGATGAAGCCCTTTTCAACAATTAGTTAGTACACTATATGACCATTAATATCATGACAAAATTTTAAATATATATATTAATCTTATAATTTTGAGATAATATTTATACCCTCAGAAAAGCTTTAAAGAGTGGAAATAAAACCAAAATATTATGAAATTAGTGGCAATAGAATATGTTGGGAGCCAAATCTCAGGGCTTGACATGAGATCCTAGGCCACACTTGGCAGGCCACATAGTTTTAACCTTTACATAGCAGCTCCTTAGAACCTCAGCTCAAGAAAAGAAACAACCTGACCCAGTCCTTCACGCACAGGCTCAGTCACCTAAGCAACCATTCCTGGACCTCTTACTCATAAACTCTTTACCCTGCCAAACATCCTCTTTGTGGCTTCCTAATCTCCTGCCTATATTAACACCTAGTGCACAAACAACCCATTCTGCCCCTCCCCATATCCTGACTATATAAGCTAGCCTGAGAAAAGTAAAGTTTGCCACTTGATCAGAATTCTGTCTTGTGGTCGTTCTTTCTGTGTCTCTTGTCCCCATTCCCTATCCCTGACTCTCTTGCCCCAGGTTGCCTTCCTGCAGGTCGGGCCAAGAATAGTCTCTAATTTTGGTTATTCTTCTATCCCATATTAGGTGGCCCTTCTGACATGATACAGAGATTTTGGATTTTCCTTTAACAAGCATGCTGGGGTTTAGAGAAGGAGAGATCCACACTCCAATTACAAAGTGAGCTTTAATTTAATTTAATTCAATTTAATTTAATTTTTTATTAGTTCAAATTAGGAACAAGCTGGCTTCACATGTCAATCCCTTCTTCCTCTCCCTCCCCTCCCTCCCAGGCCCCCACCAGCCCCCTCCTCCCACTCCCCATGGAGGGTAGGGCCCTCTACACGGGCTCCCCAAATTCCACAACATCATCCTGGGCCTGGCCTAGGCCCTCCACCATTTGTCCAGGCCCAGAGAAAAACCCCTCACAAGGGATGGGCTCTCAAAGGCCCTTCCTTCACCACCCAAAA